TATTTATTGGTGTCCACCACCCATCTGTCAGTTTGTTGTACTGTGGTGGCTTATATGTTACTATGATGGTGGAAGTTATCCCATTGGTATTTCGAATGCCAGCAGGGTCACGCATGATGGACAGGTTTCACTGGAGCTTCCAGACTAAGACAGACTAGGAAGAAAGACTTGGCAATCTACTTCTGAAAATCAGCCAGTGAAAACTCTATGGGTTACAACAGAACATTGTTTGACTCACTTGCTTTGGACATGTCTTCAGGAGGGATCAATTGCTAGAGGAAGACATCATGTTTGGTGAAGTAAAGGGCCCGTGAGGGCGAGGGAGACCCTCAATGAGATAGATTGGCACAGTAGCTGCAACAATGGATTCGAACATGCTGACAGTCATGAGACTGATAAAGGACTGGGCAATGTTTTGTTCTGTTGTGTATAAGGTCGCCATGAGTTGGAGCCAGCTTGACAGCAGCTGTCTATCTATTGTTGTATTCATTGATTTGGTGTTATTCTGATTTTCTTTTAGGCTTCTTAATAAATAATTTTTTTTAAAAACTTTCTAATTTAATACAGAGGGAGAGAACTTTTCATTCTGATAAGCAGTATTTGGACAAATCTACGATGTACATATTTTAAAGATGTAAAGCATTGTCTTAGTTATCTAGTGCTGCTATAACAGAAATACCACAAGTGGATGGCTTCAACAAAAGAAATTTATTATCTCACAGTCCAGTAGGCTACAAGTCCAAATTCAGGGCATCAGCTCCAGGGGAAGGCTTTCTCTCCTGGTTGGCTCTGGAGGAAAGTCCTTGTTATCAATCTTTTCTTGGTCTAGGAGCTTTTCCGCACAGGAACCTCAGGTCCAAAAGGTGCGCTCTGCTCCTGGCACTGCTTTCCTGGTGGTATGAGGTCCCCCGTATCTCTCTGCTTGCTTCTCTCTTTTATATTTCAGAAGAGATTGGCTTAAGACACTAATCTTGTAGATCTCATCAACATAACTGCCACTAATCCATCTCGTTAAGATCATAGTAATAGGATTTACAGCACACAGGAAATCACATCAGATGACAAAATGGTAGACAGTCATACAATACTGGGAGTCAGGACCTAGCCAAGTTGACAGATATTTTTGGGGGACACAATTCAATCCATGACAAGCATACATTGAAAGCAATTAGAAAAGAGGGAAATATGAGGCTCCTTTGATTGAAAATTTAGCCATCATGATACTGTTAATTACTCTTTAAGGACAGTTATCTTTGGACCCAGCATCAGTTTGGAAAACTTCTGTATTTATATATGTATTTAGCCCTGTCAGACATTATGGACTTCTTGATGTGATGAAATAGGATGCACACAGCACCACTTTTAAAGATTCTTGCATTAAAAAAAAAATTGAGCCTGAATCTAATGAAGCTTCTAGATCTAATTACCAGTCTCACAGGGAAGTGGGGAGATTGAAGAACAATGTAAATGACACCATGGGGAAGCAGTCAGAGGATATTCTACAGGCAAAGGAATGGAATGAAATAAAAAAAGGAGGAGAGACTTTAGTAATAAATATACCACTTAACAACAAAATGCAGTATGTGGACCTTTAATCTTGATTCAAATGAACAAACTTCAAAAAGACATCTAAAACAGGGAATTTGAATATGCGCTAGGTATTAGATGATACTAAGATATTAACTGTACTATCAATTCTGTTGTGATAAAGGCATAGTGTTTGTATTTAAAACAATCTCTTATCAGAGATGCATAACTGAAGGATTTTTGGGTGAAACAGAATGATGCCTAGAATTTGCTTTAAGGGGAAACTAGGAAATGTAGTCTTTTGGCTGGGAGTAGTGTGTCCATCCACCACCGGGTCTGTCAGTTTGTCATATTGTGGTGGCTTGCATGTTGGTGGTGGTGGAAGCTATGCCACCAGTATTTCAAATACTAGCAACGTACATAAGGTGGACAGGTTTCAGCGGAGTCTCCAGACTAAGAGTAAGAAGAAAGACCTGGCAATCTACTTCTGAAAATTGGCCAGTGAAAATCCTATGGATTACAACAGAATACTGTCTGATATAGTGCTGGAACATCAGCCCACTAGGTTGGAAATCACTCAAAATACATAGTGGCTGCAACAATGGATGATTGTGAAGATGGCACAGGACCGGGCAGCATTTTGTTCTGTTGTACATGGGGTCACCATGAGTTAGAGCCAACTCGACAGCAGCTAACAATTGTGTCCAGAGGGAGAAAATGGATATTGGGGGTAACTAGCCATTTCTGTCACAACCTGTGAGGTTATAAATATATACATTACAAAAAGTAAGGAAGCAAATAGGATGTATTCCCATATTCTTCATTCTATCTTATTGAATGTTGCTAACATCAGACATTTAATTCTTAATTAGGAGCAGAATTCACCTCCTCTAGGAAAGGATACTTCCAGAAGACTTGGACATTGCTGTATGGCTATATGTGTAAAGGCTCTGTTTGGGAGTCTGTGGGGAAATAGTGGAAAGAATGAGGAGATGTGAGATCTGGGATGAGGAGATCAGTGTTTCAGCCCCAACTGCTCTGTGATCTTGGGCACAAATTCCTCTGTAAAATGAGGATAGTGTATATTTACCTATATAACTTTGTTATGAGGGATAAATATATCTCCCTATAACTATTAAGCAAGATTAAAAAATCCCATGATGATTAATATTTTGGGGATTCTATATAAATCTCAAGTCTGTATAGGATACTCAGGTAGTATGTAGGTTACAGAGAAATATGAAGAGATTCAAGGATCCTAGGAGTTTAAAAACTAGTTGAGGGGTGGAGTATACATGCATCAAATGGATTTACAGATGGTTGTCAAATGTATAAGTGTGCTGATTAGAAAATCTCTTATGTTTAGAAATGATGCTGTTGTGGATTGAATTGTGTCCCTGGTCCTACAACAAAAATACCACAAGTGGATGGCTTTAACAAAGAGAAATTTATTTCTTCACGGTAAGGTAGGCTGAAAGTCCAAATTAAGGGGTTCAGCTCCAGGGGAAGTCTCTCTCTCTCTGTTGGCCTTCTCATCAATGTTTCCCGGACTAGGAGCTTCTCTGCGCAGGGACCCCGGTCCAAAGGACACACTCTGCTTCTGGCACTACTTTCTTGATGGTATGAGGTCGCCAACTCTCTTCTTGCTTCCCTTTCCTTTTATCTCTTGAGAGATAAAAGGTGGTGCAGGCCACACCCCAGGGAAACTCCCTTTACATTGGATCAGGGATATGACCTGCCTAAGGGTGGTGTTACAATCCCACCCTAATCCTCTTTAACATAAAATTACAATCACAAAATGAAGGCCAACCACACAATTCTGGGAATCATGGCCCAGCCAAATTGATACACACATTTTTTGGGGGAGATAATTCAATCCATGACAGTCCCCCAAAAATGTATATCAGCTTGGCTTGGCCTTGATTCCCAGTGCTATGTGCTTGTCCACCATTTTGTGATCAGATGTGATTATCCTGTGTTGTATGTGAATCCTAACCTCTATGATGTTAACGAGACAGGATTAGAGGCAGTTGTGTTAATGAGGCAGAACTCAATCTACAGGTTGTATCTTGAATCACCCTCTTGAGATATAAAAGAAACTGGCAGAGAAGAAAGGGAACTCATGTCACCAAGAAAGAAGAGCTGGGAGGCAGTGCGTCCTTTGGACCCAGGGACCCTATGCTGAGAAGCTCCGAGACAGAGGAAGATTGATGACAAGGACCTTCCCGCAGAGTCGACAGAGGAAGCTTTTCCTTGGAGCTGGTACCCTGAATTCGGACTTTGAGAGAATAAACTTCTGCTTGTTAAAGCCATCCACTTGTATTTCTGTTACAGCAGCAGTAGATAACTAAGACAGATGCTACAGGCTAATAAGTATGTTGCAATATCATAAACATAAGCAATATAATTGTTTTTTCTTTGTATTTCTCAATGTTACTAGGTATTAAAGATCATAAAGCAAAATATGTAATGAAAGAAGACAGGCATTTCTGTTTTCTCTCATAAGATATTTAAATACATTAATTAATAATAAATATATTAATTTTTAAAAAGGGTATTATTTGCTTGGTGTCTTAAACTATATAAGATGGAAATTTTTGTATAGTAGTTAGGAGTTGGCTTTGGAATGTCAGACAGCTTGGGTTTCACTTTCAGCTCTACCACTTCAGGTAAGTGTTTAAGCCTTCTGAGGCTCAGTTTCCTTATCTGTAAAATGGGGAAAATAATAAAACTTAATAGGGTTGTTAGAAGTTTAAATGAGAGAATATATATAAAGTACAACAGTGCTTGGCACATAGTAACACTCCCTATGGGTTTGTTCTCATTTTTGCTGGTGGATGAGGTAAGCAAAGGGATTTTCCCCAAGTCAGATAGTGCCAGAAGCTAACCTTAATTTAGCTCAAACCCAGATATAAACTGATTCTTTACTTGGTTATTTTACCATTCCATATTACAGAATTTCTTATAAGGTGAGGATTTAAAAGCCTTGATTTCTTTGTTTTATAATCAACAAAACTATTAAGAAATTTCCATTTTGATAAATGAATAAAAGAATCTTTGAAAATTTGGCCACATCTCAATTAACCAGCTAGCATTTTTATTTTGCCACTGGATTAATTGACTAGCTCTGGAGGAATACATTCAGGTTATTTTCTTTTAATCAAGCCACAGTAGGAGATTTAATCATGGTGGTATGAAGATGAATGTGCTTGAATTATCTGAGGCCAAAGAACATTTTGCCCCAGGTAATCTTCAATTAACTCATTCCTGTTAGCCAAGAATTCTAACTAGATTTAGTCTTTCTTCGTATATTTGCTTGAAAAGGCAAACTTTGACAGGAGAGTATATCTTTTTTAGGTCCTAAATGTGGTTTTTCCTCTCTTCATTTGGAAACACAAATATGGTTTTTAATTTTTTAGTTACTGAATATTTCAAAACTGTCTTGTAATTTTTTTTTTTTTTTATATTCTCAGGAATTGTATAGAAATCTCGTGAGGCCACTTTGCAAATAGGGTGATGATTGTGCAAAGAATGGTATTGAATTCCCGACCTGGTACGTATTTGTCTGTGAAGAGTGAACAACTGTGAGTCTTTGATGATTATTAATGGAGGAATATAAAGTAATGTGATGTCAATGTGGTAAATTAAGGTAGCAAGACATTACCGCTAGTAGAGAGGTTAGAAGAAATCTTTTTAAACAATGTAATGTTCAATTTTTCAAGTGATAACTTACCAAGAGATAATAGGTATTCTAGAATAATTATAACATTTAAATATGTGGCTTTTGTTTTTTCTTTATATTAGGTATCATTGATTCTTAAAATTTGTTTTCCTATTTCATGTGAATAGTACTGATTCATGCTCCTGCTGACATCTAAGCTAAATCATGGAAGCATAGGTCTGTAAGTAACTTGAGAGGTTTGGGCCTGTTGCTGTGTTCCAGCCTTGATATTGTTGCTCACCTAGGATGTGACCTGGGGAAGTCACTTAACTATTCTGAACCTCAGTTTTAATAAAGTGAGGATTTGGGTTAAGATCTTTACATTCTATTCCCACCTTAGAAATGTGATGTTTCTATGAATAAGAAGTTTGCTTATATTAAACATAATTGAAAAAGAGTATACTTTCAGTGATTACATTTTTGTTGTTGGACATTTTTCTTTTCAAACCTCAAGTTTTCTAATTTCCTAATTTTTAAGACTTGTTAAAACAAAAATCATATTAAGCCAATAACAGAAATTGATTGAAGTTTATTTAATATATGATTTGTAAATCTGGGCAACATTTCTGACTAGAGGGTCAAAAATGTTGCAAAGAAAGATCTTTCAAAGATTCTCATACCCCAGATATTGCTAGTAATTATATATTGCCAGGGACGGATTACCCAGTAAGCAAGGTAAGCACATGCTTAGGGCATCAACAAAACAGGGACACCAGTTGTCCAAAGCAAAGACTCATAGATGCTAAGCAGACAGAACACAAGGAAACGAGCTGTGCAGTGGAAGGGAACTGGCAGGGCACTAAATGAAACTGATAACAGTTCCAGTGCATGAGAACGTACCTGCTGGAAATAAAGTTCACGCAGGGTCATGAGGGCACCCGTGCACAAGTTGTTTAAGCTGTGAGGCCCCTACCACTTCAACACCTTCATTGACATCTGTGTCCTAGGATCCCCTCCCGTGTAATTGAAACTCCTTATCTTGGTGGGTCTCTTGGGAGGTGGGGGTAGGTTGTTGAGTCTAAGTCTTGCTACATTCACCCCATAAAAATTTTATAATCCAGTTCATCTCATTCTGCTAAAATGGCATATGCTACTTTTGCATTCAATTGCTAACGTTATAGTCGTATTTAAAAAGAAGTTCCATCATGAATAGCTAAGACACACACATACATACATTTACATGTATATATATAACTCACATAATCCCCTTTGAATGCCTGAGTAAGCAGAGGAGGAAGCACCACAGATTATCAGTGTTTACGGCCCTCACAAGCCAGAATAGTGTTTACGTAATAACACTTTGCCCTAAAACACAGCTTCTATTCTGACCTTTGGAGTTTCTGTTGTCAAAACTGCACATAGATAATTCTTTAAAAGAGCACAATGCCCAAGACAAATGGTCTTTGCTAATTAAGTTGGACTGTTGTTTGCCTTATAGGTAACTTAGGAAACCAGTTTCTCAAGGGTCAGGGGTCAAAGATCATCACCTTAAATGGGTCACCTCAATCTCCATGGAATCCAGAAACCTGGATTCCACAAGAATAGAAAACTCCATTCCTCAGACTTGACTTTAAATTTCTTTTTGATTACATTCATTTAGGTTTCTCTTTACTTCTTAAAATGAGGAAGCAAGTTTACCTATTTACTTTGGCTGATGTAGTGTTTCTGCTACCTTGTAAATTTTAATATTCATAAATAAAAAGCTGGCTATGATTTTCCACTTTTCTAAATCCTCCTATAATTTTAAGATGGACAAGGTGCTTTACCTGTAATCTTTTTATTTATTTAATTTAAATTGTACTTTAGATGAAGTTTTACAGAGCAAACAAGTTTCTCATTGAACAATTAATACACATACTGTTTTGTGACGTTGATTGCAGACCCCAAGACATGTCAACACTCTCCCCTTCTCAACCCTGAGTTCCCCGTTACCAGCTTTCCTGTCCCCTCCTGCCTTCTCGTCCTTGCCCCTGGGCTGGCGTGCCCATTTAGTCTTGTTTTGTTTTATCGGCCTATTTAATCTTTGGCTGAAGGGTGAACCTCAGGAGTGACTTCATCACTAATCTATAAGGGTGTGCGGGTGCCATACTCTGGGAGTTTCTCCAGTCTGTGTTAGACCAGTAAGTTTGGTCTTTTTTTGTGAGTTAGAATTTTGTTCTACATTTTCTCCAGGTCTGTCTGGGACCCTCTATTGTGATCCCTGTCAGAGCAATCGGTGGTGGTAGCAAGGCACCATCTAGTTATGTTGGACTCAATCTGGTGGAGGCTGTGGTAGTTGTGCTCCATTAGTCCTTTGGGCTAATCTTTCCCTTGTGTCTTTGATTTTCTTCTTTCGCCCTTGCTCCAGACGGGGTGAGACCAGTGGAGTATCTTAGATGGCTCCTCAGAAGCTTTTAAGACCCCAGATGCTACTCACCAAAGTGGAGTGTAGAACATTTTCTTTATAAACTATGTTATGCCAGTTGAGCTAGATGTTCCCTGAGACCATAGTCCCCAGAGCCCTCAGCCCAGTAATTTGGTCCCTCAGGGAGTTTGGATGTATCTATGGAGCTTCCATGACCTTGCCTTGGACAAGTTGTGCTGACTTCCCCAGTATTGTGTACTGTCTTACTCGTCACCAAAGTTACCACTTGTTTATTTAATGTTTTTCCGTCCTACTCCTCCCCTTTCTCGTAACCATCAAAGATTGTTTATTTTTTGTGTAAACCTTTTCATGAGTTTTTATAGTAGTGGTCTCATACAATATTTGTCCTTTTGTGATTGACTTATTTCATTCAGCATGATGCCCTGCAGATTCATCCATGTTGTGCGATGCTTCGCAGATTCATCATCGTTCTTTATAGTTGCGTAGTATTCCATTGTGTGTATGTACCATAGTTTATTTATCTGCTCATCTGTTGATGGGCACCTAGGTTTCCATCTTTTTGCTATTGTCAACAATGCTGCAGTGAATATGGGTGTGCATATGTCTATTCATGTGACAGCTCTTATTTCTCTAGGATATATTCCTAGGAGTGGGATTGCTGGATCATACAGTATTTCTGTTTCTGGCTTTTTAAGGAAGCACCATATCATTTTCCAAAATGGTTGTACCATTTTGCATTCCCACCAGCAGTGAATAAGAGTTCCTACCTCTAATCTTTTTAAATAAGAAAATTTGAAGTTGATAGCAATATTTCAAAGGAACCTCTTAGGGAAAATCAAGAGTAGTTGTAACTACTTGAAAGATTTATGCTGAGTCATTTCTACACTTACAGAGAAATTACAAAATAATAGATTTGTTCATGCCTGTATTAAAAGGGAGTGTTCTGAATCTTAGAGTGAACTTTTAAAGAATAATAAAGACTTGTTTAAGAAAGTTATTTTTATATTTTATATCTTACCTAATATTTTAGGAAAAAATGGTAATCCAGTGGCAGGGAATTTCCGACTGGAGGAGGTCAGTTTACCAGATAATATTGCTGAAGGACAAGTACAAGTTAGAACTCTTTATCTTTCTGTGGATCCTTACATGGTAAGAATCAGAATTTTGTGACTTGGTTGAAAAATAATTTTATTTTTATATTTTCTCATGTTGCATCTCAAAGTTTAGCAGTCCTCATGATTAATAAATATGTGAGCAATTATATCCTGATACCTGTGAATAACATTTATCTTTATTCACTGGTGTTATTAAGGAATGTTGTCAGAGGCATGTTTTCATAATAGCACCTGTGGTCAGTCAGGTTCTTCCAAATGTCCCGGTCAATTTTCAGTAGTAAGTAAACCTTGAAGATAGTAAATTACAATTAGAAATTCTCTCAGATAGATTCAGTTTATAAGGCAGCCTCTGTATAAGACTTCTATTCCAGTTGGGCTCTTTTGGTTGAAAGGAACAGACTTGCTTATGCTATCTCTAGATAAAGGAGCTTTATTGAAAGGGTACACATTGCCTAGGACAGCAGTTGAGAATCCATCAGGTGCAGGGACATAGAGCTAAGGGCTGGCTTCTTGTGTTAATTTTCTTAGGGGTCATGTAGTCTCTTGTTTTCCTGCCGCTTCCCTCCTAACTTCATCTCATGGCCCTGACAATTGCATGGCTATATTCACTATGTATCAGTTTTGCTCCTGCTAGTAATAGCCTCAGTGCTTACAATTAGATTGCTGAGGTAGGGAATCTGGCCCAGTTCATCTTATTTGTCACAGTATTTCATAGGATACTGACCTACTGTATTCATTTCCTATTACTGCTGTAACAAATTATGACACACTTAGTGGCTTAAAACAACACAAATTTATTATCTTATAGTTCCGGAAGTTACAGGTCCCAAATAGGTCTCACAGGGCTAAGATCAAGGTGTTGGCAGTGCCTTCCTTCTGGAGGGTCTAGGGGAGAATCCATTTCCTTGCCTTTTCCAGCTTCTGCGGCTGCCCACATTCTTTGGCTCATGGCCCTGCTTCATTCCAACCTCTGCTTCTGTTGTCATATCTCCTTCTTTGACCCTGACCCTCCTGCCTCTGTCTTATAAGGACCCTTATGATTACATTGGGCCCAATGGAATAATCCATAAAATCTCCCCATCTCAAGAGTCCCTAAGTGGCACAAATGGTTAAGCAATCAACTACCAACTAAAAGGTTGGCAGTTCAAAGCCATCCAGAGGCACCTTGAAAGAAAGCCTGGTGATTTGCTTCCAAAAGGTCACACTTGAAAACCGTATGGAATGCATTTCTACTCTGCATCAGATGGGGTCTCCATGTGTCGGAATCAACTCGATGGCAAGATCCTTAACTCAGTCACAGCTGCAAGGTCCCTTTTGCCATGTAAGGCAACATAATCATAGGTTCCTGGGATTAGGACGTGGCCATGTTTGGGAGGCTGTTATTCTGCCTACAACTCTAACCTATAGATTGACTACCCAGAGTTCAAGTGCCCCCACTGAGTTCAGTCAGCTGTGGCTAAGGGGAGGGTTGGGCAAGGGCTGCCCTTGGGTGAGAGAGTGATAGCCGTGAGAAAGTACAATAGGAGGTACAATTAGAGAGTCTGTTTTCAAGTTACAAGACACATGTCAGAACTGCCCATCTATAAATAGTGAAAAGAGTCCCATCTTACACAGGGCTTAGGTTCATGAATAACATGTGAGTAAAAAAATCACAGATGGTCAAAATACTCTTGGAAAATCCCTTAAATTGTTCTTAAATCATCAGAATACAGTCCCTTAGAAGCTAAAATCAGAATCATCCTCTATGGTCATATAATGTAATTGTCAAAGCTGTCTTTCCCTGGGCTTCACTTGCCCCTCATAATGGACTGCTCCTCACCCTTTATCATTGAACTCCCAGATAAAGAGAGAACTATACTGAAGTTTTAAAAATATAATTAGTAGACTTTTTTTAAAGCAGACTTTTAGATTTACAGAATAATTGAGCTGATAGTGCATACAGTTCCATATACCCACCTCCCCTTCCCCCAATTTTTAACATCTTGCGTTAGTGTGATATATTTGTTACATTTAATGTACCAATATTAGTACATTATTATTATCTATAGTCCATAGTTTACATTAAGCCTTACTCTTTGGGCTGTACAGTTCTATGGGTTTTGACAAATACCATATGTACTCCATTACAGTTTCATACAGAATAGTTTAACCACCTTAAAAATGCCTTATGCTTCACCTATTCACCTTTCCTCTCCCTCCCCTGATATTCTGGCAATCACTGATCTTTTTACTGTCATATAGTTGGAATCATTCAGTATGTAGCCTTTTCAGACTGGCTTCTTTCACTTAGCAGTATGCATTTAAGGAATGGAATATTATTCAGCCATAATATGAATGAAGTTTTAATACATGCTACAAAATGGATGAACCTTGAAAACATTATGCTAAGTGAAATAAGCCAGATACAAAAGGATAAATACTGTGTGATTCCACTTATATCAAATATTTGGAACAGGCAGATTCATAAAGACAGAAATAGCAGTTACCAGGGGGTTAGGGGAGAAGAGAAACAGAGAGTTAAATTGCTCAACAAGTACAGAGTTTCCATTTGGAGAGATGAAATTTCAAGTTTTGGAAATGGATAGTGGTGATGGTTGCACAACATTGTGAATGTTATTAATGTCGTTGGATTGACTGCTACACTTGCTTTCCAAGAATACAAGCTGAAGCATAGTTTATTTCCAGAGAAGCATCTGCCTCAATTCCCTGTTTGGTCTTTTCTCCTGGTTGGCTGAACCAGACCCTGTGGGGCCCCTTAATCAAGCATTCTTCCATGTTTTCCATCGGGTACACATTGTGGGCCTCCACATCTTAGCTTTATGAGAGAGGGAAGAGTGAGCTACAGAGAGGAAGAGAGCCTTGACTCTGTCCTGGAGAAGTCTTTAGCCCTAGTCCTGTGGAAAGGTGTGGCCCCATTGTGACACTTTGTCTATGAGGGGTAAAGAGAGGATCTACCTGAGGTTGGGAGCATGATGTAGGGAGAGTGCTTGGTCTGAAGTAGTGAAGAACAGCTGAATAAAAATTATTTAATTTAGTTTTGGGTTATTTTTGTTGGAGAGGTAGAATTGCTAGGCCAAAAGTAATGAAGAGTTTCATAGTCTATATGTTGATAGTTTGTTTTTCATTAAAATGGACAGCTTTACAATACCATCAGCAATGTATAAATCCAAAAAACCAAACCCGTTGCCATCTATTCGATTCTGACTCATAGTGACCCTATAGGACAGAGTAGAACTGCCCCGTAGGGTTTCCAAGGAGTGGCTGGTGGATTTAAAGTGACGACCTTTTGGTTAGCAGATGAACTCTTAAGCACCACCAGCAATGTATAAGTGTACCTAGTTTGCCACAATCAATTGAAACCTAGTATTCTGTATTATTTTTGCTCGCGTGTGTAATACTATATAAATTTCTTTAAGATTTTAACAACTTTATCGAAATATAGTTCCCATATCATACAATCTGCCCATTTAAAGTATACAAGTCGGTGGTTTTTAGTATATTCACAGAGTTGTGCAATCATTACCACAATCTAATCTTAGAACATATTTAAGTTCCTTTTTAATTGCACTTCTTTACTTGTTAGAGAGGAGGTGCTTTTTTTTTTTAAGGATAAAAACTAACTTAAAAATTAGTAATTTTTTTTTAAAATTTGTCTAACTTAGATACCTTTTTTAGTTACTGGATAAATTAGTAAACTGATTTAGTATTATCAGACAGAATTATCCTAACCAGTATTTTTTCTTTTTCAGCGTTGTAGAATGAATGAAGACACTGGTAGTGATTATCTAACACCTTGGCAGCTGTCTCAAGTGGTTGATGGTGGGGGTGTTGGAATTATAGAAGAGAGCAAACACACAAATTTGACCAAAGGTGATTTTGTGACTTCTTTCTGTTGGCCCTGGCAAACCAAGGTTATTCTAGATGGAAATGTCCTTGAAAAGGTGAGATACACTGTAAAGAATCTGATTTTTTTCCCTCTGTAATCCTTACTTTGTGCATTTAACGTTCAGTTCTGTTTGCTATCAGGGAAAAAATAAAAGCATACATTGTGTTTTTGCTAACCATCAAAATGTGGCAAAGGCACTCCCAAGCTTTTGTTTTTTTTCTACTGTTGGCTGTGACAACTGCTTATGACAATTCTTAGATTACCAGTGAATGGTGTCATTTTCCGTATTTATTTCTCAAGTTGTATGTGTAATGTAAAACCTGAGCTATACACATCAAAAAATATTTTGTACCAGGAACCAGAAGGCCCCCTATAATGGTATACTTTAAAATTTCCTGAGAAATAGCTGCCTGACTTAAATTCATTTGCTTTGTGATTGAAATTCCATCTGTTTTGTCAGAAACCTTGAGTTCAGTTTCTACAATTAGGTTGAATTGTGTGAAATTACCAATATTTGGCTATTTTTGACCCACAAAAAATGGCCACTTCTGTAATTCAGTCTAATACATGTGTAATCAAGGAAATTTATGTCTCTGGATGGACCTCAGTTCCTCATGTGCAAAATGAAAATAACAGCTATCTCACAAGTAGACGTGAAAATTAAGTAATATGATAAATGTGACAAAAGCTTGGGAGCTATTATACAACCATTTGTCAACTTAATGGTACTAAAATAAACTTAACTAGAAATTTCTTAACAGGAAGTGAAAAAGGAATATTCAGCAGTTTCTAGTTTTGCAAGTCAGTTTCCTTTAGTGGGAAATTGAGCAGTTGGTGACAGCTTGAAAGTACCTTGGGAACAGATATTAGAAATGAGGAAGAAGAATTCAGAAGGATGGAGGAATGATATTTGCTGAACACAAACTGATGTCACAATGTTTTGTATTCTGGCTTTACTTAAAAACAACTATTACATACTTGAAATATTTCTGTGTGCTGTAGGCCTTCCTGTGTATTGTAGACCTTTGTATCTCTATTACCTTTATACACACACCAGATTTAACTGGTAGCCATTAATAATTACTGAATACAAACTGCCATTTTATTTCTTTGTGGCAGTTGAATTATAAATCAAACTAAGGTCATAGATCTTGATTTCTTTTAGTGGTTTATTAAATTTTTACTGAAGTTATTAAATTCCTTAAAAGGTTATTATAAAACCTTTGTAATAAGTCATTTTATATCATTTTGTTTAATTCTTCCTAATTTTACAGATAAGAAAATAGACATAGAAAGAGTAGAGCAGTATAATTAGTTTTTTCTAGAGCTTGGTGAACATAGAAACATAAAATGCTAAGAAAGAGACCTCATTTTATTCTGTAATTAAACTAGAAGAAATTGTAGCACCTCTTCCTTACACTTTTATGGTATGTTTTAAGCATCAGTGATGAGAACTGCTGGATTTTAAATTGATTTTTTTTTTTTTAATAGACAGACTTTTACTTTGGACTTGCTCAGAGATTTTTAAAACCTTCCAACTTTGTTTAGTGTTTTCCTGTTAAGAATTTCCTCTTGTTTGGTATACTTGGCACAGTGACAAGAATAGTCTTTCTTATAAGTGATTCTCTTTTAAAACTTCTATTTCAGAGAAGTAATATTCACTGTTTTTTGTTTTGTACGATACTATAAGGAAATTATTAAGGAGCCCCGGTGCTTGACTGCTAACTGAAAGGTCAGCAGTTCGAACCCACCGGCAGCGCTGTGGGACTGATTTACTGTTTGAGAAACGATATTGGGCTGGTCTCTACTATGTTGTTTAAAACAGGAATCCCTACTATTATTTTTAAAAGGTGTACATTTTATTTTAGGTAGACCCACAACTTGTGGATGGACACCTTTCATATTTTCTTGGAGCTATAGGTATGCCTGGTTTGACCTCCTTGTTTGGAATACAAGAAAAAGGCCATGTAACTCCTGGCGCCAATCAGACAATGGTTGTCAGTGGAGCTGCTGGTGCTTGTGGCTCTTTGGCTGGGCAGGTAAACTTTTGGAGAATTATTTGATTTTCTTAAAAGGTAATCACATTTGAATCTTCTGATACATATATGTATAATTTAAAGTATAAAATTGAACAAATGGAATATAATGTGATTATGTCTCACATTTCTGGTAGAAATAGTGTTATTGCCCTACTTAGATGCTCAATAAAAATGTGAAAAATATTGTAGATTTTTGTGTCTTGTTTTCTATAAACCAAAAATAGACATGGTAAATGAGGGATCATTACTCTTTTATCAGTCTAAAAAAGAGAATCAAAGAGTACCTGTCTGGAATTCTGTGAGTTAAAAAAAAAAAAAGGAACTCATATTAAAAAAAAAAATCCTCAAATAAGAAAGCACTCATTGGATTCTAGAAATTTAGTAAATATTTTGATAGACCTTTAAGTGCATTGTTTTACAAATAATAGCTTTTTATAGTGTGAAACCATTGAAACAAAACATTTTATCTTAGTTGTGTTTTTAATTCCTCACAGACCTGAAAAAACTGAACTGTGGGATAGTGATGTTTTGGGTCTGAATATTCCTTTTATGATACCAGCTTTCAATTGTGAGATTTTAACATTCAGACCAAGTTTAATTTTTTGTTTTTGGTATGGATAACATACATTCTCCACCCTCAGTTATTTTGATATCAAATTACTTTTATCTAAAAGCATATAATCTAACGTAAATTGTGGGGTGATGCTCTCATATATTTGTAATATCTTGTATACTTTCTCATTTTTACATTCAAATGTAACAACATAAAGCCATTTACTTTTCAAAAATTTCCCCTAGATTGGCCATTTGCTGGGCTGTTCCAGAGTGGTGGGAATTTGTGGGACAAATGAGAAGTGCCTCCTTTTGACCTCAGAACTGGGCTTTGATGCTGCAATTAATTATAAAAAAGGGAACGTGGCAGAACAACTACGAGAGTTGTGCCCAGCTGGAGTGGATGTTTACTTTGACAATGTTGGTGGTGACATCACTGACGCAGTGATAAGTCAGGTTTGTTTCTGTTATAAATTTGAATACTACATTTTATTTGTTGTAATCTTTTTTTTTTTTTTTGGTGGTAAAAAAATATGTATAACAACATTTGCCAATTGTGGTATCTTTCACCTGGTACTGAGAGAAAAAAAACTTTGGGAAATTATAGGGTTTGTTGTGACAAATAACGTGATGATCAGTATGGTAAGTGATAACAAAAGATCTTGCTGATATCTACTTCCATTTGCTTGCAGAGTTGAACTACCAGCATCAATTTCAGTTCTTTGCTAGCAATATTATATATTTCACCTTCAGTTTATTTTTTTTTAATTTTTTATATTTTATTGTACTTCAGGTGAAGGCTTACAGAACAAATAGTTTCTCATGAAACAGTAGTACACATGTTGTTTTA